CTTCAATTACTGAACCGGTCATAGTCAGATAAAAACATCGAATAATATTCAGAGCAGCTTTAAATTGAAGAGGTTTCGTCGAATAGTGTTTTATTTATTTTTTGCCAGTAATTTTACTATTATTATTGTTTAGGGTTCGCATTGCAGGTAAAATAATAGCCGTTAAATTCTGAAAATATTCCCAGAAATTGATGCGGTTATGAATTCGATTCTACGTCATATATTATTAAAATTATTTCTACAATTTTATTGGGCTCTAACAATGTTATCAAGATTCATCGTCACGAGACATTACGTAGCGTTATGCGTGAGTCACTCGCTTTACTTTGCCGAGATAGTACAGAGGTGACCTTAAATTTCTTACAAGTAGAGTTCTTTAATTTCAACATCACGTAGCATCAGGTAGTAGGGCGTGCTTCCATACCGAGGTACATATTGGTGACGAGCCTGCAAAAACGTTTGCTTACATATCTATATATTTAATACAACTAAATATAATGATTAACAATAAATTAAGAAAAAATAACAATGCAAGAGAATTTTGTATTCAATTCAAGAAACACTTGATATTACATTCATTTTTTATTTAAAATTATAAACTGACCATTAGACGTAGCTAATGTTTGTAAATTACTGCCATAAAAAAGTATTAACGTGAGTTTTTAACCCTTGGACAGAAGAGGTACCCCCAGTCATTAAGGATTCCGGTAAACGGTCCCTGTTTTTTGTTTAAAGCGATATATTTTATTGTAGTTATGGCTTCTTGTTTCAACAATTGTCTCGACTTGGCGCCACAATTATAAGAAATGGCCGTCGCTGTGTGGAGAGCGTTGCTCGAATCATTAGAACACCTGCTAAGGCGGCTCGTCGATGAGTCATCATCGTCACCGACGCAATATACATATTTGCTATGAGTTCTTTCCGTAATAACGGATGTTGTGTTTAATCACCGCTCCTTGAGTGACAAACTGTGATCTTTGGTAGTATATTTCCAGTCTCGAAAACTGTTAATGTAAAATCGGGTATAATATCTTTTCAATATGAAACTTAGGTTCTAGTTAGGCGGAAGAACAAGCGATAATGAGTTACACTTTAAGTTGAAACGGTAATAATGCGTGCTGTTAGGTATTTTAAATATATGAATTAACATATGAAATGTAATCCCTTTTATTTATCATTCATATTAGTATATCACTTGAGCTCCACACCTCAAAGCCGTTAACCGATTTTTTTTCAATCTTTACAATTGTAAAGATTGGTCTATTTAAATAATATACATACATATGTTATCACACGTTATCTTATAAAAGTCTTATTTATAAAACGTATTAAATTAATTATAGTAAAATGTATTTAGCGTACAAAATGATGATAAGTTAGTGTAGAAACGAAGGTACGAAAGGTTCACACGCTGCGAAAGGGTTATTTTTGATAGCACGTTAGCTCCTAAACCAGGTTTTAAAAGCCTTGTGAGTATGTTTCTGCCTGTGCGGGCGCTCAAACCGTGCCATTTCACTCAGTGCGGACCACGTAACTTTGGTAATATTTGAGGTATGAAGGAGACACCCGCACATTTCATCTTTATGTTCGTCTCTTATGTGATAGGATATTAAAAAGTGTACCGTGTTTGTTCGACCTAGTACGCACACCGATGAAATTATTTTCGTTCAGTGCTATACCAGGCTTTGTTTTTAGACCTGGTACCCGCACTGCCCGTTTCGCGGAAGGAGTAGGGCGCGAGCCTTACGACCAGTTCGACGTAGGGATGGGCAAGTAAAAAAATATATCGATATACATCTATAGCCATTATAAAAATGTTACAAGAATAAAAAGGGGATCGACTATGGAGATCAGATGTCATATTATAACATATTGAAAAGTGCTTCAGTAAAGTAATGATAGAACTATTGATTGGAACCGCTTTAGCAAATGCATGGATTATTTACAATATGTTGAATCGGAAAACTCTGACAAAAAAGGATTTACCGAAGCTCTAATAGAAGCATTTAACGGCAAAAAAATGTATTTTCGAGGTTCTTTAAAGGATAATTTTAATCATATTAGTGTTATTAAATTCTTATGTATTTATCTCGCTTTACAATGATTTTATTACTTGGGTAATTAAAAAAATAATATGAAACGATAATACCCTACAGCGACCAATACAACAGCGCTTAAGGCGGGGCGGTATCGCAGAGAACTTCGTTGTCTATGTTTCTCCAGCTCTCTAGTTAGAACATTGGAAAATGTAGATACTCTCATACTGTTTCTCAGTCTATTTACAGCTCAAAGTTGAAAAACCTAAGGACGAGTTAACTCGTCCACAGCACTGAAAGGGATTAAAAATATGATCTTATTTATTATTCGAATATTTGCGATCCCATTCCTACAGCTATTTGCATTATTTTGGATTGTTACAATGTAAGTTGTATTTTTATATAAACCATGGTAATACACCTAATATAAATATATAGTACCCGGGGAACCGAGCTTTGCTCGGTTTGTTTTTTATGGTAAATCGTGTGTCCACCGACCTAATAATAAGAAAATATGAAGTGGCGTTTTTCACAAAAGAAACAACTTTAAAAAAAAAGGGAAAAAAGTAAATTAATAACAAATCGACAAAAAAATTAAAAATAAAGAAAGCAATTATCTGGAATCGAAAAAAAAGTAAAAAAAAGAGTGTGTAAATGATCGTGATACGAACCACGGCCGTCTGTTTTGAGGTCGCCCGATTACCGACCGAGCTATTATAACATTTTCTTTTGCGGCGAAATTTACCATCATATTCGAATGATATTTTTCATTCCCTGAAAACAGGGATAAAAGGACATTTTCTAAAAATGAAACCTAGCTAGATCGATTTTTCGACCCCGAATCTACGCACATACTAAATTTCAAAAAAATCGCTGGAGCCGTTTCCGAGATTCCAATAATATATTATATATATTTATACAAGAATTGCTCGTTTAAAAGATAAGATTTTATTGTAGGCACTAAGGAGGTCAACATGAGAACGGAACATCAGTTTATCAAAACCGACAAACGGTAAAATTGCGTACGCTAAGTTACGGTTAACATTAAAAAAATAAAATTAGAATGCAGTAAATGCAATAAGTCGTGTTGTTTGCCTTGTATTATTGGACACGTTTTAATTAATAAATAAAGATAATTTATTTAAGGTGCATATCGATAAGTTGATTTTTATTTATTTCAGTCACTGTCCCATCGCTAAAAGATTAAAATTTTAGTGCATCACAAGGCTTAACAAACAATGTTACAAGGTACAGCAGACCTGGTGGTTTAGATCCTCAAAGAATTGTTTTGTTTTTGTTCAATCCTACAGCTTAGCCCCCCCGGCTTATAAAAGCTATATTGATACATTAAGACACTAGCAAAATATAGAATTTGATTGATATAGGTTTTATTTCTGCGCTACTAGAGAAAGTTTTATACTAACGGGTGTAGGGTTAAGGCGCCTGGTACGCTCCATCAAAAGGACTCCCACTGGGCCTAATTAACCTGGCTGCGCACCGTTTGAAAGTACATGAAAACTGACCTAGCAGCGAACGTGATAGACAAGTTTAGCCATAAAATCTAATTAGTCAGGATACAAGAAGTGATGTTAACGTAAACTTGCGGCATGTACCTATAGATGTTTTAGAATTTCTTAAGCCCGTGTTTTGTAACGTCTCCAACCGCAATTTTAAATGTAAAGTTTTTATTCCTCATAAACAGCAAAACGACCAAGATATAATTAATATAATTAATATAATTTCACCGAAGTTAGGTTTTTCAGAATAATTTTAAGGTAATTTGCTTAAGATGTTGGGAAAAGTTGCTACTGCGCACGTATTGTATTTTAATGATTTTGTATTTTGAATGATGCAACATTATTTTACGTTGATCTTTTTCTGTTTTTAATTTGCGTATGAAATATACATACAGTTTACATGATTTTTTTGTATATAAAAACTAAAAACCATATATATCTTGAGATATTAAAAATATATGTATGTAAAAATCTTCTTTATGCTACCAAATTGAGTGTACAGACTCTAATAAAAGAGTTTTAATTACATCTTTTAGATTTATTTTATATCTCGATATTCCGTTGCGGATTTGGATATTTTTCATTCTATTTGTTCGTCATTTAAAACCTACATTGAAGCACCGTTGGTGCCGTATCATCTATTAAGCAAATGAAATATTTTTTATTTTTTATGTTTTCTGTAAATATCATCATTTATGGAGCAAAATTAAAAGTAAAGGGTTGTTTCTTTTTTATTTAAAAAGAGATCAAAAAAGCTGTAATTCAATTACAAATTAAATTTTGGCAGAATCCATGTTAGGTAAAACCTGAAATATGAATGTTTAAATAAATTCGACGGTAAAAATGCCTTTTACCAAAATTGCCTTTATACTGTAACAGGTAATTGAGGATTTATCGAAACATGTTTTTCAGAAATGCTTGGCACAATTAATGTTTTCATGGAACCGATGAGGGTATTTAAACGATAAAATCGACAATTAATATTATTGCAATTAAGCCCTGTGTAAATAATAACCGTTGAAATAATTATTGTGATTTACTCAAACATTCATAATATACCTTTCGTTCCAGTGCTAACAACAAGAACGTTGAAATTAAAATAGGGTTGAAATTAATATAGGGTACATTATTATTTAGCCCCAAAAAAAAAAAACAGCGCGCTAAGAACTAACAATGTTTGTAACTTATTATTATACTACTACTCCTGTATTAAGTTTTATAACACTACTATGAACTACACTAAGTAACATACCAATTCAATGCTCTCACTTGATATATTATATATCACGTTATATATTATATTATATATATAACTTGTGAGCATTTTCCATTTGGAAAATGTGTAAGTATCACCACACAACTACGAGTTGCTGCTCTGTAAATACCAAAGAATTGTGCCTAAAGTTTTTAATGGGATCTAATTGATTCTGCAATTGCAGATTTCACGATGTTGCGCGTCGCTTGTTTCTTGGCCGTGGCTGGCACAGTCTCCGCTCAGCTGTCCTTCGACAAGATGAAATGCGGCCAGCTTACCTGCCAATTCAATGAATACTGCTCCCCAGAAACGAATAGATGTGCCCCATGCAGTACGGTCTGTAACAAAACCCACCACAACTACGACTTCGCTGTCTGCGCCAAAGATTGTCAAGGTTAGTGACCGATTTAAAAAACTCTCTCCCAAGCTGAAATCAATAGGCGGTTTCATAAATTATGAAGAGTAAACCGAAGTAATTCTTATTTAATATGTCCGTTTCCTTGTGTTTTATTAGCGAGAGATTGTAATTTTGATTAAGCTACATCTAGATATTGTGTTATTTACAATTTTAAATATGCTATTGCAAGATTTTTTTAATAATGTGGAGCACAGTGGACAAATAATCGAACCAATTGATCAATCAACTCAATCGATATGCTCGGAAGGGTCGCGACTTCAATCTCATAGGGGATAAGTAGTAACTTATAAGGCGATGAAACGATTCTATAGCGAAAATATTTTTTCTTTGGGAGTATCGATAAATTTTTTTTAAATGGTATTAAAATCAACTACTTTATTCTTTTCTGTATGTAATTTTGTTTGAACAACACTTAGGACCTTATCCAATGGAAACCTTCGAAGGGGATAAGGCTGAGTAGTTTGCTGATGACTAAGAACTATCTACATGTAATAATAATAAGAGCCTTCATTACATCAGTAGCCAAATATTGACTTTATTCTGTGTATCATAAGGCTCTTTATCATGTACCGTGATAACTTGAATAACCAGTTTCGTGACCGCAACCGCCTACCTTTATATTCAGTCTTCTCTAAATCATATATTTGTCTCTCTCCCTCTTTGGTTTAAGAATGCTTTGGTTTCACGTCAAACGTTCCAACAATAAACGAATATTTAACTTCGATCAAAATTAACTGTTTTTTATTAATTAAAAGACTCTCAAATCATTTTATTAATAACAAATTGTTGAAAACCGCACACGTTACCAATAAATTCAAAGTTAGAAAATATAGATGGTTTTATTTTTACTGTTATTTTTCCTTCTATTGTTTTACCCGGGTCTCTGGAGCCTATGTTTAGGCCCTTTTTCAAATTATGGAGTCTTTTTTTAAATGTTTTCTGTTCGAATTGTTTTCGGGCCCCTCGGTAGCCGATCTGGTACAAATTTGGCTGATTTTTCAGAGAATTCTTTTTCAGATTCTTTAGGGAAAATTAAGTTATCTAAAAGAGTGCTTACAACTTAAAAAATCTTATCAATGCTAAGAGGAAAATGAAAATTGTTTATCTTTTAGTTAAACATGTTAGTAGGTTAAGACGAAACAAAAAAACTTTTGATTATATACATGTCTAGATATCTCATTAGCCATCCCTAACGGCGCAAAAACTGTCAACTGAAATGTTTGATTTGAAATTGGTAGACTCGCGTTTCACTTACGCATAACGTGCTTAGATATATAATTAACTATGCCGATTACTGCTATCAATTCATGTCACTATTATGTAGGAAAATCGTATAATAATACCAAGTCACTTTTCATTGGTAAGTTTTGTTATTTAACCACTAATAATTTAAGAAAATACGATTTTTTATTTCGCTATTTCGTAGTTAAGTCTGGTTAGCCAGTGTTGACAGTTTATTATTAGTTAGTTTTGGAAAAACTGTGGGAGACAAAATACAAATATCATCTTTCTTCAGAACATTATTATTTTAAAAATTACAGTATTAATTTGCTCAGTAAACGACAATGTACCAACATAAAATAAATGAAAACCTCATGAATTAAATAGTAATTTTCTTACATCTTTCTTTTATTTTGGGTTCCAGATTTCCTACTTGTAAATTTATATATAATGCAAGATTTTAGGAACAGATTTTGATTAAGAACCTACTGTATTTTTTCCATTGTATTTATTGTTGTTATTAAAATAAACAAAACTATTAATCTACAAAAAATACTTTATAATTTGTTTAACTTTCACTTTATTAAATAATGGGGAACACTTAAGATAAAATTAGAGCAGACAAAAACGCACACCACACAGTTTGTTTATAATAAGTACACAAGCGGCATTCACACATGCAATCAGAGACAGTTTTAGCGTCGTTTGTTTAGTATTGCTCAGTCTAGACAAGTATGTAACCAAAGCAAAAAACTATAAATATTTCGTAACTGTCGTTACATATGTTAGAAACCGTTAAATATAACTTTGATTTCTTTTATTGTGCTCGGTAATGGAAAGTTTGGCAGTATGTACCTAATAAAGGTTAACATATCCATTAATATGTTCTACAAAAATTGATATATCGGATAAATATTCTATATATGTAAATACTATAAAAAGGAAGGTAGGTAGGTGTGATATTTACATATACGTGTACCTTGTGATATTTACATATATGTGGTTAATAGGTAAACTGAATTGATTTTGGTACTTACTTCCGGATGTACCTTTCCAACTATATTATGCCTCAATATTATTACATAATATTAACACGATTTAGCGAAAAAGTGTGCTGAGAAAATAACCAATTTTAATAGATACTTCAATTTCTGATTACATTTTCGATTATACATATTTAATTTATGAAGTTTATATTTAAATTATTGTTAGCAAATTTCAAAAGTGGAATTTATAACCAACAATGCTATTAAAAGTAAAAGCAATGTTTATAATGTATTCCAAAATATTCAACTTCAGGACTTTTTCTCGGTGTTTAAAGAAGTAAATTAATACATATGGCATTGTAATACAGAGAATTATCATGCCCAGCGTAAGCCATTTTCTTTCTTTCTTAAGGTCGTTATTTTGCATTCCAAAATACCTTGTTAATATTTCTACAAAAACACATCGAATAATGCTACAAAAATACTTGTATTTTCTCAATAACTGTCTAGACATTGCTTTGTTTAACTTCAAGCTAATAATATTATATTCGATATTTTATGCTTTCAATAATCGTAATAATTTTTTTTTTTAATTTACAAAGTGTTCGCAATGACACCTACGTACACAGAGGTTAAGTTGTGGCCCCGTTGATGGGACATTGCTCGTGGTTTACACACGTAATATAGTATCATAATATTTATTCCACTTACAGCAACAAATTTCCCAACGGAAGTAGATCTTTTATAATTTTCTGAACATCGTGTAATTTCTTTGAAATAGAATTAACTTTTTATTGTGACTCGTATTGTACAGTATCGACGTTGAGCGATATTCATTTCATTACTAAGATATGCAAGTGAATAGAAAAATTACGACACGGCGTGTCGTACGAACGGATCATTGACGAGGGGAGCTACAATACTCATACTCTTTATGGTCTGTTGATTCCGACAGGTACCGGCCTGTACACGAAGCTGTTGCACACAAGTGACGGCATCGTCAGATACAAAATGTCACTCTGTTGTGTGCGTGACAAGTGTTCGAGTGTGCAAGTGCATCAAGGATGTTTAAAATTGCGACTTTTTAAACTGCATTTTGTTCGCCTCGCTTTCATAGAATTTTCATATTTTTCGCTTGGCATGAAAGGGATGCTCTCTTCTATTTAGTTACATCTTTCCTTGTGTACGGAGTGTTAATCCATACACCATTTGAATGGGAATCCATGCTCGTACTGTAAGCACATTTGAGCCCGATGCTTGAATAGCACTCGGATCTTTGAAAAATTGTGTAAAGGGCCGTTATTCCTCCGTTATGTTTGCTAATCCTCGGTGCCCCGTATATTTTATGTGTATGTGTGTGTTTGCATTTCGTATGCGAGTGTGTATAGGAAGGGTGAGAGAGAGAGAGAGAGAGATAAAAATACAGGCACCTGTCTTTCGGACCCGTTTCATTGTTTGCTTATGACGTGGCAATGTTTGCTAGAAAGGTATCTATGCCGCGCTCTTCGTTTTTTACTTAATATTTAATTTTATCTTAGTTATGTATTTGTGTTTCTGAACTTTTCAAAAAAGGCTTACAATATAAAGTTGTGGAAAGTTTTATGCCTATATCATTATCAAGATAAAAATACTTTTGATTATATCAACGTATGAATGAATCGAAAGTACTAACGTCAGCAAAATCATTATTTTCCATGGTGATAGAATTTTGTTATAACGAATTATTTGCAGTTAAATAGAATCAGTAATGTAAAATTTTTATATATTTTTCAGGATATCTCCTTGACGAGAGATATCTTCTGAAGACGGAGTATGAAGTACCAACGTACGACTTTGGCAGTAAGTACCATTCTTAATACTTAAGGCGACTTTCCTCTTAATTTTATGTCTATTCATGAACGATATTTGTGAAAATATAGTATATGCATGAGAAAAAATATTTTGCTTTGCGAATGAAGTTATAGCTGTAATTGTCAATAATATGCTTATCAACAATGCATATCTCTTTCACATCAAAATCTATTTTTGCCAGGCTGTTTACGAACCTCATTGATGTGCACTATCAAGCAATTTTTGATATCAAAATTTATTATTTGCATAACAGATGACGAGTAAATTCTTCAATCAATCAACATAAAGATCAACATAAATTTCTCAGATGCACATAATTTATTATAAGTAGATCAACAAGCTACATGTGCCCGACGTAAATACGTGCGCCAAGATATTTTTTATTAATATCATGGCGAGGTACCGAGTCGAGCTCACAGCTTCGTGCAACCAGCCGACGCCAATTACGTTATTGTCCGATCCGTCTGTCCAGACGACGAAGAAAAAACCAAAGCCAGTGGGTTCCCGCAATGGTATTTTCCGACGAAATGGATCATAATAGCTGGCGTGTTGTTTATGCGCCGCGAGCGGATCGAATTGCATTAAAGTACACCTCGTCTCAAAATTCGCCTCCCGCAGGGCAATATTGCATTGCATTTGTAGTCCTTGAATTATAATGTCACTGAAACTGCATCGTTTCACTTGTATTTCGTATTATGTTTTAATTATAAAGTCCAATCGCAGTGGACGGTTGGTGTTACGCATTACCATTTTCTGGTGTGAATGAACTTCATCTCAAACTTTCCAGTATCTTGCGATATTCTACGTTTATATTATTTAAAGACATTCATGCGTGCCTTGTGTTTGCTTGTACATCGTACGCGCCGTGCAACCGGGTAAATCCGATTACGCCTTATTGTTGCAGTGCCGGGAAGAATAACAATGTTTATTGTTGAAAGATATTATGTATGCGATCATTTGTAAGCATATTACCTTTACAAACTTGTTCCAAGCAACTTATGCGAATGAAACTTTCAACATTCACAATGTGTTATGTGCAACGCTATTATGAGATGCGATTTCTAAATACTATCGGGAACATCGTCCTAAACGGTAAACTTGTCATCTACTCATGATTTTTAGTGTTGTTGTTGAGTATTTGCGTCAAGTGTGACTTTCATCACGATGGTATGTGGTGCAGCCTTTGGTGATTTTATCGTCTTCCTAGTTCTCTTTTGCATTGAAATGAGTAAGATGAAAAAAGTAAATATGTTCTTAATGATTAATTAATATCACGAATTTAATTAATATTTCACCGTAGGCTTCGTTGTTAATTTGTTTCATCGTTGAAAACGCAATGTTTGTTATAAAGCTTAATATTGCGTAGCTATATCAATGGTCTTTCCGATATAATATTGTTTGCCCATCATGATTTTTTATAGTTATACATTTTAATATATAAATCTAACATTACAATTAAAACTTTTACAATTAAAACTTTTACAATTAAACGTTTACAATTAAACGTTTACAATTAAAAGTTTTAATGTTTAATCTAAGTGCAGAGATTAGCACTATAAAAAACTTTAAATTTATAAATACAATTGTATATTCTGAATTCATTTTATGCTTGCGTTCTGATAACTACTGTATTTATTTGATGTTTGTTATGCCTTTTGCGAGTTAATTATAATTAGGGCTGTTTTGAATAATAATTATAACGGTGTTTTTATATGATAATTGTTTAAATATGCAAGTAACTGAAAAAACTGCGACGATAAATAATGTATTATGACTACTTACTTTAACAATGAAATTTCTTTTGCGAATGTATTGTGTAATCATGTATTGTGATTGAGAAGTGGTAGCTTAACATGTATAGGTATTGTATGCATTTTAAAATCAAAAACCTAAGCTTTTAGCTGCTAAAGCTAAGTTATTAACCGCCAAGCTAAGATCTAGCTTGGCTTGATTGATCGGGAATTTAGGTGTTAACTTGTTACCGTGTTTGTAAAGGTGCACAGCGACAATCACAAGCGGCTCTCATTGTAAGCGGAGTGGCTCTGGCGGTTTTGGTCCTCATTTTGATCATCCTGTGCCGTGGAAGGGTATCCTGGAGGTCAATCAAGCAGAAGTTTCAACCGGCTAAGGTGATTCTTAAAATATTTATAACTGAATATCATTTGGTGCTTGATTCTTCGGAGTTTGGCATAACATCAGTCAATCTTCAGAACAACGTCAGAGAAATAAAAAACTTCAGATAAATCGTGAGGCAACCTAGGCAAATCACGCCATAGCTGTTATTGCGGGATCAGCTCATTCTTTGCCCAGGAATGACTTAAAGTAGAAGTATTTGCTATTGTTGGTAAGCTAACTGGGAAGCTAACTAGGTGAGGCTGCCCCCAACGATAAAGTCAACAGCCAGTGTTTGCTACTTTCTATTAAAAAGTATTTGATTTCTTATTTTTATATGTCACCGGCTTCTTTAATATGAGAAGGTGGCAAGACAGCAGGCGGGTCATCTAATGTTAAGTGGTAACCGCCGCCCGTTGATATTTGGAACATCGGTAGGGTTGCAGATGCGTTGGCGCCTTTTAATAAAGTGGTAGACAAAACGCAGAAGTATAACAAATCTACTTCATGATGGTCTTCTGTGAGGTCGCGGTACTTACCCGGACGGACCTGTCCGTTCTTGCTACAGCGAAGATTGTTGCGTGGCTTTATTGCCTTGTGGCAAAACTAATTGGCGACTACAATTAATCATAGATAAAACGTAACTTTAATGTTGTCTTTGAATCTGATTAGGATCAAGAATTTATCGTGGTTTTTTTATTTACCATTTTTGGAAGTTTGTTTAATCGTTTCCTGAGCGGACGATAAGTGAACGTCTTTGTTTTCTATGAGCTCGATCCTCTCCAATCGATCTAACCGATCGTTTTATCAAAGTCAGCAATTTTAAGAGTATTTTAAGAGTCTGTGTTCTACAAATTTTAATGTTTCATCTTAAGTGCAGAGATTACCACTATACAAAATAGTGAAAATTTCATATAGCACGGGCGACATCTCTCATTCAAATTATCATTGTAAAACGATTCGAAAGTTATTGTATGCTGCAAAGGAAATGCTTGAAATGCAAAAAAACAATGTAAATAAAAAAAGAGGACGTTGAGTATTTCGTCCGTGTGGCAATCAGCTGTTTAGCTAAGTGATTAAAGCATCTGAGTGCGAATCTGGAATACGTGGGTTCGATTCCCCCAACGATTCAAAAAGTTTCGTTACTTATTTATAGAAATTTTAATTATTTATACAAATTTAATCTTCTGTGCAGAGCACTATGAACATTTATGAATGTTTAGAGTTAATCAAAACAAATCACGGTGAATCTACTTGATACAAATTACACTCAAAAGATTTTACGCATTTCAGAATCGGGTGAAGAATTACCCCACGGACTTCACTCATCACAATCCGCACGCTGAACTGTCGAAGCCGAAGCCCGAGCTGAAACTGGAAATTCGAAATCCGGAGCCGCCGAAGCGAGCGAACGTGCAGCCGCTCAATCCGCGCGACCTGGAAACCAGAACTTCGCAGACGGACAAGAGCCAGGGAGCCACCACACCGAAGACGATCAGCACTGCCATAAGCACCAGGCACCCGGCCGAAGACACCACTCTCGACTTCTCCTACGACAACATGGGCATGAACGTAACACCTCCCGAGCAGCCAGCGACTAGTCACAAATTCTGAGATTCGGTTGTCAGATTCGACGATGATAGAATCGAGTTCATTAGCATACGATCCGAGTCATGAAAATGTTATTTAATAAAAATCCTGGCAAGTTTACGCCTCCGGCATCTAAAACTGCTCTCGACCCATCTATATTTAACAACAAACACATATTCCGCAATTGGACCCGATACAAAATATATTACTTCCGTTATGTCAGAGAGTGATTAAAGAGTACTGTAGTCAAATATTCCGCTCGCTTACAGTCGAACGAGTCGTGACATGAGCGCGGAAAAACATTGGCTTTTCACTTCCATTCTGAACCTTCCGTTTTGCGTTTGAATGCATCCATTCACGTTTATCACATATCATAAAGGATTTAATTTAGTGTTGCGTTAATAACGGCTACAATAATGCCTGCAATTATTTATTATTATTAACTATTTAAAAAAAAAGTCGGCCCTCTGGAATGTTTTAGGAAATTTCATGCTTTGATTAAATATGTTTAATTTTGATTTAAGTAAAGTAAACAGAATGTGAATATTTTTAGTAAGAAATTAATTTTTTACATCACATAGCTCAAATATACCTACACAGTGTAGAAAGAGTACTTAATGTATAAACGATTACATCAAAGCACCATGTAATGAGATTATTTGCTTTTTTATCTCATGTTACATTACTGATCTTTTTATCATAGTTTTTTATCTTTATCTAGCTTAAAACATATTTGTAATTAAATATTTAATTACATTCTATTTATTAAAAATACTAATCAATCATTAATCACAATAAGATATTGTACTAAGTAATGTCACACATTTCTGATACACAACACTTTGTAATACGAAGGGTATTACAAAGTGTGTGTTTCGTCATTACTGTAAATAAACCTAGTGTCAAATTTACAAATTTGCACATGCATAGTTAAAATTATACAATAATACAATTTTGTTTCTAAATAAATCCATTCACGATTTGAAGGTATTATTTATTAGTAAATGCTGTCTGATTTATTAGATAGGTTATTAATTAATTTCTAATTACCATTATGATTGTTAATTTGTTAATACATTATGAGAATCGTTAATCTTTTCATTATACGTTAGATTGAGTGGTAATTATCAAATAATGTTACATTTATTTGATAATTCATACACAAATTGAATTGCTGGTATTGTACTGTCGTTGATATAAATCCATTACTGAAATTAACTATATCTGATATGATAATATTTAAGTATAGTTATAAGTGAAAGTAAGGTAAAAGTTATTTTATATAGAATCGTTGAATGGTTCTCGTTAAAAGGTTTATTGCGTTTAAGTAAGCTATTTTCAGATTTCCACCAGTTCACAGCAGTAACCTTCCAAACTAATTAGCATCTTTCAACAACAATTGTTTTGAAAACAAAGTATACATGACGTGGCTGCATGGAAGAAAATTATTTAATGTTGCTCACTTTCCTCGCCCCAAGCTGGTGTCTGATGCAGTGCAAACTTTATTGTTAGTTTGCGTTCGCTGATGGCCCTTTGTTAAATCGCAAAACGATATCGTAGCGGTGGTTGAACTGTACGATACATGAATACGTAATAGAACCTGCCTAAGATAACATGTTTACCTGCTCGTCGACGAACGATTATCGACTATCTTAACTTCTGTTACATTGATAACTCAGCACTAAAGATATATATTTTTAGATGTTAAGTCGTACTAAACGATAACCAGTTTATATCTAATTACTCTATATGAAGTTTCGTAGAACGATTGTAATGAAATTTAATGTTAACTTTTGATTGATTTATGTTTATGGGTTTGTTACAAGTTACAAGTTTTTGATAAAAACACATTAATATAGTAAAAATGGTTAACTGTTACGAAGTACCAATTACGAGATGAATGAGACCCGTGAATGAACACGTATTAGCATAACGTGTTGCTCTGACGTGTTACAGCCATGATAGCCCCTAGCGAAATTTCACCCAATCCGTTCCGTCCTCTGTATTTTGAACACTATTGTATTTCATAGAACTTTACTCTACAGTAAATAAATAAATCAGTGATATTGCGAGAGTTTTCATTTAAAGAATAAAATTTACTGTTCGTTTTTAACGCTTGGCTTGGTTTGTTGTACGCCGCGTTACATTACCCGTATTTACCTATAATGTGATTTCGTTTCTAATTTGTTGGTTATTGTAAAGGGAAAAAAATATTGTCTTTTTTTATGAGAGAAAGTGGCAAATGTGTTGGCGGTCCACCTGATGTTACGTGATAATCACCGCCCATGGACATTTGAAACACTCGTAGGGTTGCAAATGCGTTGCCACCTTTCAATAAAATGGACCCCGGCTACCTTACTCACCAGACGAAACGCAGAAGTGTAACACTTCTACTTTACGCCGGTCTTCTGTGAGGTCGTGGTACTTGCCCGGACGGACCTGCCCATTCGTACAACAGTGAAAACTCTGCGTGGCCCTAAAGATAGTAAAACAAATCACAGTCTATTTTTGAACTAGACAAAGATTTGTTTGGAAATTACGAAATTTTTCATTATTTTTATTTTAGTGTGGTTGGTGTGTTAAGGTTTTATGTATAGCATGTTCGCAACTTATGTATTGTACGACTATGGTATTTGATGTTCATGTCATTGATTGCATTGTGGTGTACGTTGATTCCGTTGTTGTCATGTTCTATTGTGGTCTGGTTGTATTTTAATTATGTATGTAATACGATTGCATATTTGTTTACACATACACGTAACTACGTATAAAGTTGAATCTCTTTAAGAGTTTTTTCCATGTTGATAGATTTTTCTTAGTCTTTGTTTTTTCGATGTTCTTTATACTAATAGAAACTTATTTCATTAAGAGAATAGAATTATTGTTATTAGGAGGATAAGAGTGAAATCATTCGAATTTTTATTTAAGTTAGTTTTAATCTAAAATAATTATTCGCGATGGCTAATAAATAAGCGATAAACTGAATACATACCTACGTATTGAACATATCGAATCTTCTCAAATCAGAAACACAAAATATGCTGTGAATGGATCCATTTGAGAGGGACATTTAAAAAAATCAAATCACGATGGTATTTAAATAGAAGTTTTTTCCCACTACGTTAAAGGTTTTTTATGGATTGTGTTTAGAATTGAGTTTATTATTTATGTTTTTTTTAAACTATTGTACATTACATGCCATACATAACATTCCACAATATCACACTATACTATAGCGTTTAAGAATAATTTATATGATGACTTTTTTGATTAAAATAATGTGATTGTTTTAGGTAGGCTGCTATTATAAAAGTAGTCCTCTCACATTAGAAACTTAAACATAAAGATTTAAAAAAAAACATTTTCTTTATAGATAAAATGAATATCTATGTAATATAATAACGATTTTGAAAAAATTCAAATGATCCTCATTATTGTAAATTACTCAAGAAAGTAGATTAAACAATACATTTCAAATACTTTATTTTGATTGTCTACTTACTGCTGTCAAGTTATCGTTTTGGTAAGAGATCTAAATGGAAGGGCCTTCAAACATTTTAAGCTCTATTGGGAGTAAGTAGAATAAGTACCTTATAAAATAAACTTAAAAAATGCGTTTATCGTTTTAACATTTTAAAGATTTCTGTTTACAATTAAGGTTATTTAGGATTTTTAAAACTAAAGTTATACTTAAATATAATTGTACATTGCACACCATACATAACATTCCATTCAAATATAATATAGCGTTTAAGATTAGATTTAATTATATTTTCTGTTTTTAATTTCCTCTGAATCATGAAATGTGGAAATAAATGTAATGATATCCGCAACATTCGATTAGGATCATATTGTTAAGTTATCAAGAGCATATTGTTAAGTTGCAGTATTATCTACGACAAATTTTCGAATTTACATAGAAATACTGTTTTAGATATACTTTTTTGTCATGTTTTTAAGTTTTTTTTTATATTTTAATTCAATATCAACTGAGCGCACAATATGAGGATGTACACTATGCAGTATTTTTTCTCTTTTGCTTGTCCACTCTGCTTAAATTTCAGCGTGCGTGTACGTCGAATAATAGAAAATGTAGATCTTTATATAATCCATGAAATTACTTCTGTTATAATATCTTAAATATCAAACACTCTCCTGCTGTACAACGCACTTAATATTGTTTTTATACATTTTATATTTTATTTTTTGAACACCTTTCTTAAAATGTAATAGTTTCGATATTTATATTTTGGATTCGGTAATTTATGGTATTCGGTATTATATTAAAATGTTAGATGATAGAATGGTTATTCTTAAGATATGTTAGACTTAAGATGTTTGTATATATGAAGCCCTCAGGCCCGTCCGTCCATTATGTCTAGGGTTATCAAATAGAAAGCTACTGATGTGTTCTTTTAACTAAGTAAATTATCAGAATTTCGTGAATATTAAATATATATACTTTATTATAGGATTTGTATATTTAAAGACAAGTTATTAAAATAAAGTTTCAATTACTATCCGTTGTTTCAGTAAATAAGATAATCTCTAATTTTGATAACTGGATACACCAGCGAACTAAAGTAACATAAAAGTAAAGTAAAGTAACTGCCTAAGCAAGTCTCACTGTGGAGCAAAGGCCTTCTCCGCACAGAGGAACTACCAAAATCATTTTAATACACCTCCATTAACGATTGGAGTTCTGCCCGATAAAACTATAAGTCAAAATAGTGGCTAATCTAATAACCAAATATTTCGGCCCCGCGAGCCAACGAGCTCGCAGAAACCGATACAAATCGTTCAAAGAAGCTATCCATAATATATATATTCAGGACAATGCTATTACATACAAATACCCGGTAGATATGCAACTAGCGCACCGAAGCTGAGTCACTTAAATAACGCCAATTAGTGTAATTGGATTGGAATTCTATAGACTGCTATCTCTTTCAATATGATATAGAACGTATTCACTTATATTTACGGTGGTAGGGCCACGCAGCAGTCTCGGCTGTTGCGCG